TGGGCTCGGGGGCCGGCGGGGGGGACGGTGCCCCCTCTGCAGTGGCCCCGCTCGCCAAGCGCCTACTTGGCGCCGGGCGCGGGGCGCGCGGTGTAGCCCTGCCGCGCGCTGCCTGTGCCATGAGCCTGGATGGCTCCAGGCTCGACCCCATGAGCCTGGATTGGCTCCAGAAGCGGGCGGCCACCGGACATGCAACAATTCTATCCATGGGTGCAGCCTCCCATCACCCTCAGCACTTGCTAATGACGCGCGCATGCACGCGCTCACGGGCAGCGTGAAGCAGGCCTGGAGGGTCCCACTGTGCCCCGGGACCTCTATCTCGCACATCGCGTGCGCCACGCCGCTGCCGTCCCCGTGCGGCGTCAGACCGTTTGGCGGCACAAACGCGCCCGCGCCGTCTTCGACATGCCTGAGGCGCGGCAGGGGCGCACGGACAGGGCGGCGCCAGGGGTGCGGGTTGTGCTGCGGCGACCGGCACGGATAGACTGGCGCGAGCGGCTGCACAACGGCGTCGCGATGGCACGCAGCAGGTGCCATCGCAGCATGGCAGCGTGGCAGTGCCGACGTGGTCGGCACCCGCACCAGTGGAAACGCGGCATGGATCTCAATGTCCTACTGCTTTCTGGTGAATTCGATCTCCCTCTATTGCCCTATGGTGTCTCAAGATGGGCTCGGCAGGCAGATCTGGTCGATGTTGACGCACCAGGTCGTGATGAATGAAAGCATACACGTAATCCACGTTTTCAAGGGAAAGTTACCAACGGTCCTGCATTCGACAAGGGAGAGGCTCTGCGACAAGAAAGGCATGGTTGCTGCTGGTGCGGGGCGGCGCAGGGCGCGAACGAGCTGGGGAACAGCCACCTCATCAGCACACGGGACGCATGGTGACGCCCGCCGTATGAGTTCGCGACCAGCATTCAGCAGTATGCATGCCCGTGTGATGTGACTGGTTCAATGCCACCTGGGCTGACAGCGCAGGGCATCCTCAGCGCCAGCGGCCCCTCCTCTGCGCGGGCAGCACCTGCCGAGCAGCAGGGCGACTGCAATGGGGCACTCAACGGATGCTCCCCTTGGGTTTCATTGGTACAGAGGCGCTGGGCACTGCGAGAGCGCCTAGGGCTGCACCCAGGGGTGCAATTAGGGGCTCACTCCGCTTTTCCCTGGTGCTGAGCATCCGTGAAAAAGAACGAGCTGGAAATTCCCTTGTATGAGTACTATCCTCTTCCAAATTATGTTACATATATGCTCCCGTCGCATACCTGTGACGCGACTGACCCATGTACAGTATGTGCTCTCTCTGACCGCCAGTCAACCCCTACGCAAGAAACCATTGCCTGCTACGGAGTCACGTGGCTTGATACTGCTGGGGTCTCGGAAGACAATCGCAAAACAATCTGTGAACAGAAACATTTCGTTGGTGTCAGGCACCTCCACCTGGTGGCAGGCCACCTCCACAGATCGTCAGATCAACTCTGAGCTAGCACATTGCAGCCGACGATATGATATGTGAACACCAGTGAATTTGTCTTTTGTTGTGTTGTTCTGCATCCTTTCCTGCCCTGCCATCGTCCGACCACGTAGCCGGAATCCCCCGACCTGCGCGACGAATAAATTTGAATATCTGGAAACTTGAAATGCACCTAGCTTCGCTTGCGTCCCCGCTGGTGGATTGCACGCCCTGCAGAGCGAGCGGGAAGCCTTGTGCAGCATTGGCGACGCCGCACATGATGTTGGCGCGAGCCGGCAGCAGGTGCGCCAGCCTTAGCAATGCAGCTGCCAAATGGCCATGAAGATGCCATTTTTGCTCGATCGCATTGCCATACTGCTGTAACACAAAGCGCTGCTCTCGTAGGCTTTACCGTCTGCGTGCCGCCGCGGCAGGGCTTGCCAGTACCGCCAGCCCCCCCAATGCCACCCCCCGAGCACGGCGCTCCGTGGCCGCTGCAGCAAGCTCCGACGGGGCCGAGGGCGGCGCGTCAGATCTTCCGGAGCTTGTGTCGTGGGTGGTCTCCCAGGGCGGCAGCGTCCAGGGCGCGACGCTCGCCAACCTCGCCGGCCGCGACGGCGGCAGCGGCTGGGGCCTCAAGGCCACACGGGTAAGGCCTCAGGAGGCACGCGACGCACACGCGCGCCGCAAGGCGGTGCTCCTGGGCCAGGGGGCTCAATAACGCGGCGGCTTGCAGGAACGAAACAGCAAAAGCGCCCCCCAGCCCGGCCTCGACACGCGTGGCCCGTCCGCAAGTTAGCGGCTTCATGGCGGCCGCGATGCGCATCAGGCGGCAAGTGGCAGCCCCCGGCCGCGGCCAATCCCCTCGCTCGCCGCAGGACCTGCCGGCGGGGGCGCGGCTGATCGAGCTGCCACGGCGCTGCCTGCTGACGTACGATCCGTCAGACTGCGACCCCGGGCTGCTGGCGCTCATCGGGCAGGTGTGGGGGCTGCAACCCGACAGGCGTGCTGGTATCGCTGCCGGCTGTCAGCGCTGTACTGCAGGCGCATGCGTCACATCACGCTTCGCCAGCAGCAAGCTTCTGTGGTGTAATAAGAATGTGGTGTGGTGGAAAGCAAACACATCCCTGCTTTGAGGTTCACGCTCCTGGCCTAGCCGCCAGGAGAGCATGCAAGCACGCCCGCAGAACTCGCACCCATCGTACATAAACTGCACACCCACAAAGTTCACTCCAATCAAGCACCTAACATATGCGCACATGACACAACCACACACTTCTCAAAGGTCCCCGAGGAGCTCTGGGGCGGCCGCCTGGCCCTGGCCCTGCTGGCGCACCGCGCCGCCGGCCCCAGCAGCCCCTTCGCCCCCTACATCGCGCAGCTGCCCCGCGGCTTCCCGGGCGTGCCCATGTTCTTCTCCCGGGAGGCCCTGGAGGCGATTGACTACCCTCCCGTGGTGGAGCAGGTGGGGTCGCCTCTCTGCAGCCTGCTGGGCTGCGCGTGCTGTGCACGCTGCGCGTGCTGTGTGGTGCTGGGCTGCGTGCAGCTTGTGCGCGAGCGCCGCAGCTGGTGCAGTTGTGTTGAAATTCGCGCGACCCGCTGACCGCAGGTCAAGAAGCGCTGCCGCTGGCTGCACCGCTTCAGCACCGACGCGCTGGCACCGCTGGCCGGCACCGCGGCGGACCCATTTGGCGGCGTGAGGGTGGACATCAACTCGCTGGGTGGGGGGACGGCGGGGCTGCGTGCGATTTGGGGGGCAGCGCCGTTTGGCAAGCCAAGCCGGCGTGCATGATAGAGCCGCTCAGGCTTGCCAGTCGTCAATAAGATGTTATCCTCCTTAGGCTTAAGCGCCATGCCAAGTTGTCTGTCTGCGCCCAGGCACAGCAGGAGCGCATGGGGTGCGACTGGCGTTGGCAGTCGCCTGCCAGCCTGCGCCTTGGCCCGGATTGAGCCTATTCCCCCCCTCCGTCCCCCACACATTCCGCCCGCGGCGGCGCCGACAATCGTTTGTGCACCCCCCCAGGCTGGGGCCTGGCCGCTGTGACGAGCCGCGCGTTCCGCGTGCGCGGGCCGTCGCAGCCTGCTTCGCTGCTGCCCCTCATCGACATGGCCAACCACAGCTTTGAGCCCAACGCCGAGGTGCTGCCTGCTGAGGACGGCGGTGTGGCCATGGTGGCCAAGCGGCAGGTGGGGGCAGTGGGCAGGGGTGACGTGAGGGCATATGTGTGTGTGCGTGTGTGTGTATGTGTGTGTGCAGTTGCGTGTGTGTGAGTGGCCATGGTGGCCAAGCGGCAGGTGGGGGCAGTGGGCAGGGGTGACGTGAGGGCATATGTGTGTGTGCGTGCATGTGTCTGTGTGTGTTCTCTTGTGTGCGCACATGTGTGCATGTGCACGCGTGCATCGGCGCCCACATGCTGCAGCGCGCAGGTGTGCCGCGCGCCACGCAGGCACCGGCGCCTGCACCTGCATGCCTGTGTTGGACGAAACCAGGCGACGCAATCCCTTCGTCATACCGCGCCCACACACCGCGCACTGACAAGTGCACGCGCAGGCGTGCATCTACATGCACATACACACGAATACACACGCACGCACAAACACACATGCACGCCCCCACGCGTCCATGCTTGACTCCGCAGCTGTCAGCGGGCGAGCCGCTGCTGCTCAGCTACGGCCCCCTCTCCAACGACTTCCTCCTGATGGTGCGCGCCCCGGGGGGGAGGGCAAACGGCTCCCGCCCTCTCTGGATTCGGGGGCCCGAATGCGCCGCTCGGGCGCGGGCCGCTGCCCCTGCTGCCCCCTCAAAAGTCTTGGGTGGATGTTGCCGCACTACCGCACAGCACCCGCCA